TATCTCCAGCAAACCTTGGAAGTATATTGATGCTCCGTCATTCAGACGAAGGACACATGTTGCACTTAACGCTTCAGGAGGTCAACTTAATCTCATTGGTGAGATGCCGTGTGAAATGGTTTTGACGCTGCTCGGGTAAACGGCATCGGCACATTTAATTCCAATTGATTGGATCCAGAAGCTCCGCCTGTCCGACATCCTACTGAGTCAAGTATGCAAATACCCTCCGGCTCGGATATAGGAGACCCTCTTCGGAAATGAATGAGTCAAACAATAAGCTGGTCGAGCAGCTAGGAAGCAAATTCCCGTCTGTGTTTTGCAACGACTTGGAAAGGTGCACAAAGACCAAAGCAAGCCTTGCTCTCAAAGAAGGTGCCAAACCCGTATTCCGACCCAAAGACCGGTACCGTACGCTGCGCTTCCGATTGTTGATGCGGAACTTGATCATTTGGAGCGGGCCGGCGTCATCCAACCTGTGAACTATTCAGCCTAGGAAGCACCTACTGTTGTCATCAAGAGGACCAATGGAACCGTCCGTATCTGTGCTGCATATTCTACGGGTTTGAATGCTGCTTTGAAAATGCACCGGTATCCTTTGCCAGTCCCAGAAGATCTATTTGTTCAGCTCAGTGGTGGCGCTTACTTTGCAAAGCTAGATTTATCAGATGCGTATCTTCAAATTGAAGTCGACGATGCTTCAAAGGAGTTGCTGGCAATCAATACGCACCGAGGTCTTTATCAGTTCAACCTTTTGCCGTTTGATGTCAAATCAGCTCCCGCGATTTTTCAACAAACCATGGATACGACGTTAGCTGGGCTATCAAGTGTCGCAGCTTACTTGGACGACACCATAATCAAAGGGTCTACCTTTCGAGAGCTGACGGGAAGACTGGAAGCAGTTCTCCACCGCATTAGCGATTACGGTTTTCACTTGAAAGCAGAAAAGTGCAATACCGGCATGAAGTGTGTAAAGTATCTTAGCTTCATCATCGACAAGGATGGCTGTCGTCCGGACCCTTCCAACATAAGTGCCATAAAACAGATGCAAAGCCCTGACAACGTCGCGAAGCCCAGATCATTCTTGGGGTTGAACAGTCATTACAGCTCTTTTGTGCCCGAAATGCATCGGCTACGAGGACCGCTCAATGAACTTCTGGTAAAGGATCGCAAATTTGTGTGGCCTCCTGAATATCAAGCTGCATTTGAAAATGTCAAGCCTATATTGTGTTCTGACCTATTGCTAACGCATTTCAATCCGGAGCTGGAGATCATAGTTGCTGCTGACGCGTCAGGCTACGGAATTAGAGCAGTCATATCCTACATTTTCCCCAATGGTTCGGAGAAAGCTGTGGCACATGCAGCCAGATCACTCACTCCAGCGGAACGCAACTATGGACAGATCGAGAAAGAAGCTTTGGCCATAGCGTTTGCAGTCAAGCGATTTCACAAAATGCTCTATGGACGAAAATTCACGCTGTTCACTGACCACAGACCCTTGATCGCAATCTTTGGATCAAAGAAAGACACTCCAGTCTGTACGGCCATTTGTCTCCAAAGCTGGGCAATGGTTCTACTTGGATACGATTTCATCGTCAAATAGCAATCTACACACAATACAGGTCAAGCAGATGCGTTATCCCGTTTAATTGATACACAACATCAAGAACCAGAAGATTTGGTAGTTGCGCAAATCTCCTTAGAACCCCAAGTACCTCAACTTGTGTCAGACATTTTCGGTGCCCTACCAGTAACGTTCGAAATGGTGCAGGAAGAGACCCATCACGATTCTACCCTAAAACAAGTGATCCGTTTCCACCTCAATGGCTGGCTTAAGAGAGTTACAATGCCGGAGCTTCAACAGTTCCACCAACGAAAGGAAGCACTATCAGCCGTCAGCAATTATTTCTCAGTTGCCAATTGGGGATTACGCCTTTTATGCCTCCCGGTAAGGTTCATGGTAAAAAGACAACGTACCAGTTGAAACATACACTCACCGTTGTCCGTACGGTCGTAGTTATGCCCATATTTGCTATCTAGCTGAGCTTCTAAAGAGTCCAGGCTACCTACTTGCGCACTCATATCCCCTGCATGTACTATGATATCTCAACTGGTAGCACTGCGTAGTAGAACGTTCATTTTATGATAGAATGTGTCCTTGCCAGCATCAGAACTGCAGTCGGTGGGAGCATGGGCGGAAACCACAAACAAACAGCGTTTTATACTACTTCGTGAATCCACCTTTATTGATGTGGTCAAACGGACTGCATACAAACGTCTTTGTACGGAAATCCTGTCAAGCAATAATGCAAGCCTTAGAGCTGAGAAGGGTATTTACTACAGCTTGATCAGACGCTGCCGCATCAGTGTCTCCGGATTCGTGCAAGCAATAGCGAGAGGACAAGCCGGGTGCAATTAATTCAACAACCCCGTGAGAGTCATTGATCTTAATTTCAGATACGCAATACATACCGATACCCATCGTGTCCAACGTGCGTACAAGTGCAACCGGTTGACCTAATTGTCTTACAGTGCGAACCTTGAACGCCGCCAGAAAAATTGGACACTGTGGCAATCTAACTGAGCGTTGCCGATAGGCGTCAAGTGGGTGGTACGGCAAGGTAGCTGCAGATGCTTCGACTCCATTGGTATTACGGCTGCTGTTAGCCTGAGAATTATAGAAGGAAGGTTAGTAATGGGGATCGTTACTTGAGTAAGAAACAGGTGGAAAAGAAAGAAAGGAGGCACTAGTAGTAGCATTTTTTCGCTTATCTGCCCTGTTGTACGCAGCAGATAAGGCAACCCTGATAATTTGCGCGACGGACGACGCAGGATGTAGTTTGAGTTTGAAGAAATAGCCATGGTTGTACTTGTGCTGAGATAGTACAGTGGCACCCAGACCTGGACAGGAGAACAATTAGGGTCTTCAACCAAAGCATGTGGCTTAAAATCCTGTCCGCAAGACAGCGGGGAGGTGGCAATGATTTACTTTTACATAAATCAACGCTATCATGTTGCAAACCCCCAAACTGGATGACCAGGTGAGTGAGTATATCAGACTTCTAACTATTGGCCAAGCTGGTACGAGTAGCTCACAATTCGCGCCGGGGTACCGCCCAGTATAGCTCAATAGGTTAAAGAAGTAAGCAAACTGCCTCACCAAGTTAACCTCCAGTCTTGTTGCGAAGATTCATTGGTGTTATGGCTAAAAATGCACCAGTCACGGCGCTGTACATCAGGTTCTTGAATGGATTTGACTTGACTGTCAGATCATTATCACCAAAGTGTTAGCTACCTGATCCAAACAACGACTGACTTATAGTAAGTTAACCGACCTCCCCTTGCAACTGTTACATACATCACTATAGCTGATATATATGATGAGTGTATTGGGTACGATGTGGCCAAGATACTAAATCCCCTTTGAAACTGCAGTATTATCGTAATAATCTAATTCTGTGTAATAACATCCTTAGGCTGTGTTCGCTCTGATGGCTGCGATCACGTTTCGCTAGAGAATGCTTTCTACGCCCGCACATCGAGGATACAAATACAACAACGGCAGAGGATTAGATTCCGCACTGTAACACGTTCCGCTGCCTACACATGCATTAAGATATGTGGTTATATAGTACGAGTACTCGGTTTTATTGAATTGTTGCGACCGTCATATGGCTCGTAAAAACGTTCAGCACACAGTTTCACGACCGCAAATCCTGCTACCTGTTTCATGGGTTCCGGTGCATTTGCTTTAGATAATCCTCCTCTGGTCATTCAGCTCACGAAGTGAACTTGTATCAAATGACAAGTCATGCTTATGTAATCATGGTTGCACCGGTGTCGTCACTATCTTGCTTGAACCAATCACTGCAACGGTTTTTGAGAGCCATGGAACAAATTATGTGTAAAAGTGCTAACGAAGCCCAAATAACACGCAATCTGCGTCACGTAAGGGGTAACTCAACCCATAATATGGCTTCCGAAACACATTGGTATGAGTAATTTGGCACGTGCGGCAGGTAGTCATGAGTTCTCGGGTGATTTTCTCAGCCCCAACTAGATTTGCTAGATCAAGATCAAACGTGGACCTTTGGGGGTGAAAGGGTAGGGAAAATTCAAGAGCGTGTAGAGAACCAAAGTTACCTAGTTGTGACTTAATACTCTTTCGAGTGCATGTGGAATAGGATGTATCATGAAACAGGTAACAGCTCGCTCCTACGTATTGCGAGAAAGGATGACAGCTAATCTTTTCATTCTTTTCTGCTTATACACATAACAGTTGAAATAAAGCTAAGACTAGCAAGGACAACTGATTTCAACGCTTGCAGTAATCTTGAATAGATAGTGGCCTTGATGATAACCGAGGAACAGCATTCACCGGATCAATCGGTGCTCTTAGCTTACAAAAGCAAGTGGATCTACTTCCCGGTGAAAGCCAGTAAAATGACGGAACCAACATCGGTACGTGCCCAGGACCCTGGGTTTGGTGAATTGCAAATGCTGTTGTGTTTTCTATTCGCAATCTTGCGTTATCTTCTTGGCGGACAGACGAGGAAGCGTTCATGGGCTGAAATGCGAACCTCACATTTTACTGCTAATTCTTTGACGTAGGTAGGTTAGAGTGATTTGCGTGACGATGGATGCACCAAAGGTAACACTAGACGTGACGATAGTCGCAAAACGGGTTTGAGAAAATCAGGTAAAACGAATATGCTGTCGTCCAAACTTAATTGAATACTAAGCAATCTCCTTGGTCTACGGCATTTGCGGTATTCAACACCCGGCACAAAATGCTAACTCATAGATATTTCCCACTGTAGATCCCAATCAATAGAGTATCGAAACCTAAAATAAAAGCTAACGAAAAATGCCCGGATAACTGTGTTACATACCGTGCTCTCCATAGATGATATCATGTATTGTGTGTTCTACCGTCCGTTGCTGAAGTTTCGACTCTACGTTCGTTGGCACAAATAAGCAAATCAGTCAAACTATGTGCTCACCTGGGGTAACGAGCATATAAAGTCATGTATGTTGGCGAGTCGCGCAGCCTCTACAATTCGCTCCATTGACGGTTCACACGAGTTGTCACCGTACGCAATGTTTTCCTTGATGCTCAGATCGAACAAATTTGGTTCCTGTGAGACTATTCCAATTTGGCGTCGCACCCACGCAGGTGACAAGTCGCGCAGATTGTAGCCGTCGAAAAACACTCCACTATTCAGCCCATAATCTGATGGATCGTAGAATCGCTGAACCAGTTGCAGTAAAGTTGATTTCCCACATCCGGACTGACCAACCAGTGCCACTGTCTGACCTGGGAACACCTCATGTGAAAAATTCTGAAAAATAGTTACAGAGAACATCGAAATTGTTTTATCAAATATGTGGGCGCACAGACTAGCGATGCTGATTTTAAGAAGCAACCTACATGTGTAATGGGATGGCTTCCCCATCCACCTGAAAGTAAATTTCTTCGCAGTAAAAACGTGTTCCATGACTTACTTCAATCTAAGCCGAACCACAATGAAACGCAGAAGCAATTTTTCTTCCAGAACTATCCGCAATTATGAATTCCAGTCGGTTCAAAGCGTATAGCGAGAATTTGACGCTTTATCTCTGTCATCCATAAAGAGCACCACTTGAACTTTTGCTAAGTGTCACCATTGTTACCGGTTGAAACAAATGGTAGCTCCTCTGTCTTACATTATCAGCTCAGCTGCCTACAATACGTAAGTCATGAGGTGATGTTCGGCAAGGCAATAACTTTTGTGCACTTGAGCAACACATTAACTGAAACATATTTCCACTATGGTTTAAGTCCACGCTGTCATTTTTACTCTCCTAGTGAACGAAGTGGATGCACTATCAGAGTGGATTTTTCATACCAAAACCGCCCAACATCATATTCCTCTTTTTTAGCGATTTTCAGGTAGAGACGGTCAGAGACGAGCATTGTTCCAAAAGCGTCACGGCCGTTTGAATACCTCTTCTGACTGCCTGAGCATCATCTGTGGTAGAAATCACGAGGTAGTTACAGGAGAACAGCAAGATTTGTTTTGCATTATGGCTGTTCACATGCGTCCATAGTTCAGACAGCAGCTTAGAAAAATGTAAGTCAATTGGCAGTGGTGCTTAGGACCAAATCGCTTCAGTACTGGCTTCTATATGTTTCTCTAATTATCACTGCACTACATGATGTGTTGTGCTCCGGTTTGCGCTACTCTGCCAGAAACATCTCGGCTGCGATTTGAGTCATTGCTTTCATACTTGCATCTAGGCGCAGCCATCATGTCGAGAGTGGATTTTGATGAAATGTGACGGTTTGCATGCCTCCGTGGCCCATTAAGCCATACCGGTGCGCAATTTCAAGTGCCTTCAGACTCACTCATATGAGATATTTTAATGTATAGTAGCCATACAGACAGTCACAGTATCCTCTTCGGGGCAGAAATAAGTCAGTGATCCCCTTCTTTCAGCTTTTAAGCATGGCAGCCAACGGGTTAAAGGTCTTAGGTTCACAGTTAGATTGATTTAGAGCACGCGTAGCATGCAGTGACCCTGACGGTGGCAGAGAAACATACGATGCTGTGAGTTGCTACCAACCGCATTAATTCAGGTAGACTCTTGCTCAGTTTCGGCGTGTAACGACCTGCAACTAAGACTGGGTAGAAGTAATAGAATTGATGTGGAGCATTTGGTGGAAGGCAAAGACCCGTGAGTTTGAGAAGGCCGGTGCGATTGGGATCAGCGGAAGACTGCTCCCCCTTATCTGGAGCAAAGAGTCGAATGAAGCTGTCAGTTAATGAAACGATGACTGAAAAAGATGTATATGCGATTCATTTTTGGGTCACATTGACTAGCCCGTTGGGTAGAATATCGTGAAGAGATATGCCTTGTGAACACTAGCCATTTATGGATTAGTTGGATTTACGTGAGATGTTGCGCACCCTACATTTTTTGAAGGCGATTCCGTGTGAACTCGCTGCATTAAGAAAATCAGGGCCCTTGAGCCAGATCAGTTGTCCTATCACTACTGGATGATGGAGGTAACTCTTTGTTGACTGGACTTGTTGTCCTATTTCACGTGAAGTAAGAACAGCAGACTCATCATCATCATCCTCATCATCATTATACATGTCAGATAGAGATGGTAAAACACCTCCGCTATTGTACCGCAATACATAAAGGAAATACATACATACATACAATACATAAAGGAAAAATAAATACGACAGTTGAATGCCAGCTGAGCTACCAGCAACGGATACGCATCGTTCCGGTAAGCTACTAGCCGGCTACTAGGCAAAAACAAAAATTTAATTACGTTTTACCCTACGAAATAAGATCGTAGATGGAGGGGGAGGCTAAAGGGATGGGGAGGGACAAAGAAACTCACAGCAGGAACGCCACTGAGGTCGGCTCCTTGCCATATCAGCAAGTGTATCCAGCCAAACGTGTTCACCGTCTTTTGGACCCCAACCAGGGAGCCGTGAAGCTCCAACTGAGGCCAGCTCCGAAGTGAGGGCCTTCATTCCTCTTGACCAAGTCATCGCTTGGCCACCTCTCCTCTTCTTCCACCCACATCCCCGGTGAGCAAACAACGCACGTCGAGGGAGTCGGTGGGCTGGCATGCGCAACACGTGGCCCAGCCATCGGAGCCTGGTGAGTGAAATGACGGTGCTGAGCGGTACATTCCCTTTTCCTAGGCCGTAAACAAGGCGTCGAACACGCTCGTTACTCACGCGGTGTTCCCACCAGATGTGAGCCAAACTGCGAAGGCACCGATGGTCGAACGTAAGTAGCCTCTTCATGTCCGCCGATCTTAGGGGCCAGGTTTCGCAACCGTTCAGTAAGGTCGAACGTACCGCTGCATTGTACACTCTACCCTTCAGGGCGAGAGTAATGTCGCGCCGTCGCCATAGGTGGCGAAGGTTAGCAAAAGCACTTCGAGCTTTCGCTATACGGTTCGTGATCTCGTCTTCGATCCCAAGGGCGCTGATACAACTTCCCAGGTAATTGACTTTCTGAACGACTTCTAGCTGATCCCCACCAAGGGTCAGCACAGGGGGCGAACCCTGCCAATCCTGGAGGAACGCTTTGCACTTCGTTGGTGCAAAGCAAAGCCCGAAGTGGCTGACAGCCAGTGCTAATCTGTCCAGCGCGGCTTCACACGTCTGGGAGCTGTCACAGATGAGGGCAATGTCGTCTGCATACTCTAAGTCAAGAAGTCGTTCTCCTGGGAGTAGCTCCACACCTTCCAAGTCATGTCCTGTAAATGCAATCTCCATGACTTCGTCAATAGCGAAGTTGAACAGGAAAGGTGACAGCGGGCATCCTTGTCTCACACCGCTGGAGATATTGAAGGGTGGCGAAAGCTTGCCGTAAACCCTCACTCTGCCCGTGCTATGCGCATATAATGCCCGGATAATATTTACATATTTCTCTGGCACACCTTTCCTGAGTAGACAATTCCAAAGGGCACATCGATCAACCGAATCGAAGGCACCCTTGATGTCGAGGAACACGACTACGGTGGGCCGCCAATATGTGTGACGGTGCTCCAACAACTGACGCAAGGTGAAGATGTGGTCGATGCAGCCACGACCCCGACGAAACCCGGCTTGCTCCTCACGAATCTGGCTTTCACGAGCGCCAGTCAGTCTGTGAAGAATTACGGACGCGAGTAATTTGGAGGCGATGGAGATCAGACTGATTCCTCTATGGTTGCCGCATTCCGAGCGCGAGCCGCCTTTGAAGATGGGAACAATAACGGAGCGGCTCCAGTCGGTTGGGACAATCTCCTGCTCCCACAGTTTCACTAGTAATTCATGCAAAGCATCAACAAGAGCAGAGCCTCCAAATTTGAAGAGGGCTGGAGGAAGATCATCTGGTCCCGCGGCTTTGTTCAACTTCAACAGTCCGATCTCAAGTTTGACTTCTGAGCGAGAGGGTGGATCCAAAGGGACAGCCCACGGAGCGGGGCGATCAGTGACCGGCGAATCGAACAATTCTTGCCGATTAAATTGCTTTTCAAAATGCTCAGCCCAACGCTCCAGACGTTTTGACAAATTGTGGATAGGCTGTCCACTCTCGTCACGTATAGTTTCACTAACACCAGGTCTCCTGCTGCCCGTTTTCCGTATCAGACGGAATAACTTACGATGGTTGCCATGGGCAGCGGCCACTTCCATCTCTGACGCACGATGAGACCACCAAGATTCGCGGTCTCTCTTCAGGCTAGCACGGAGTTTTGCCCGGAGCTCTTTGCGAGTTTCATTGTGCTCGCTTCCAGCCGGGATTTGCCGGCGAGCATCTACAAGTTCCAGAGACTGCGAAGAGACCCAATGTCCATGTTGTCTATTAGACATACCACATGAGGATTTGCCTGCTGCTAGTAAGGTCTGGCGAACATGTGACCAGTGACCATCAATTGTCTCCAGTGAGCGCTTGCTCAACTCGCATGTTAGCGTACTTCGATACGCATTCAGAACAGCTGGTTTTGTCAGTTGGTTGGTGTCAATACGTTCACAGCGTCGTCGTGGGCGTCCGCCAAAACGCATCCGCATGTCAGCACATACAAGTGCATGATCGGTGTCCACACATGTGCTCCAAATCGAGCGACAATTCTGGATGCAGCCTCTCCAGCGGTAACTTATCGCAATGTGATCGATCTGCGTGCAAGGCTGGTTCGAGGTTGGTGGGCGCCAAGTCACCCTTCGGCGGGTGCTGTGTCGGAAATTAGTGCTCGCAAGAAATAAGCGAGCATCTTCACACAAATGAAGTAACCGCTCACCGTTATCATTACGGGAGCCTACACCGTGTTGACCGCCCAGATGCAGTTCATCAGTGGACAACTTTCCAACTTGTGCGTTCATATCCCCCGCCAGCACAACAGTGTCCGTGCTTCTTCTGTGGCGAAGGAGCTGGGTCAGTTGGCGGTAGAAGTCGTTCTTTACCGAATCATCACTACAGTTTGTGGGCGCGTAGGCAGCGATGATGAATAGACATCTATTAGTCCCGCGCGACTTCGAAGCTTTAAACGAGCCAGCCAATCGGACCGCACACATCCGGCCACTGATTGGAATCCAATCAACCAGAGCAGCTTCAGCCCGGAGACTCAGGGCAATGCCAACACCAGCTTGGCCGGTGCTCTAAGCTGCATCGTCACCGGATAGGCGTAAGGAGAAAATACTGCTTGCGTCACCTGAAGGGGATCGCAGAGTGAGCACAGTGCTCGAGTCTTGCAGGCGAGTCTCTGATAAGCAGCAGATATCGATCGAGAGGGTCTCCAATGTTCGGGCAAGTGCTGCCTGTTGACCGATTTGTAGCAGTGTGCGTA